TATATATAAAATTTTTTTCTTTTGGGTTTTTGAGTGAGGGTCTCATTATATAGTTTAGGGTGGCCTTGAACTCACTAAGTAACCCTGGCAGGCCTTGAACTCAGCAATCCTCCAGCTGCAGCCTCCTGAGTGCTGGGATTATAGGTGTACACCACAGCTGACTTCGGATCTTTTTTTTTTCTTTTTGAGACAGGGTCTTTCTATGTAGTTCAGGCTGGCCTTGAGCTTGCTTCGTAGCCCAGGTTGGCCTTGAACTGGCAACGATCCTCCTGCTTCAGCCTCCCGAGTGCTGGGATTACAGGCATGTGCCACCACACCCGGCTCTGCCACTTTATTATTAATTTATTTAATTTTTTTTGAGACAGGGTCTCCCTGTGTAGCTCAGGCTGGCCTTGAACTTAAAGCAATCATCCTGCCTCAGTCTCCTGAGTGCTGGGATTATTGGCCTGCACCACACATCCGGCACACTGCCTCTTTAAATATCCGTGCTATAGTACCCAGAATGTAATATAAGGAAGAACAAAAGAGCTTACTAAACAAAAAAGGCCTCACTCAGTCCTTCAATTTCTTATCTCTGACTTGGCCACAGACCCTTGGACAGGAATGATAAAAACTTTTCAGATAATGTGCTATCTTATCACTTTTTATTTTATTATAAAAAATTTAGGGCTGAGCATGGTGGTACATGCCTGTAATCCCACTCGGGAGGCTGAGGCAGGAGAATCACTGGGAGTTCGAGGCCAGCCTGAACTATACAGCAAGACTCTGTCTAAACAAACAAATTAACAAAACAAAAAACCAACCCAAAAAACAAGAAATGCCAAAAAAGTTTAGGAATGTCAATTTTATCAGAACAAAGCTTACAGATAAGACAGCAACACATTACCAGATCTATTTTTTCTAAGACACAACCCTGTTATGGAGGCCAATTTTCAGATTCCAGCTAATTTATTTATTTATTTATTCTCTAGCCAATTTTAAAAGAGAGTAAAAGAACATAAAATAGTTTGTTTAATATGATTCTACCTTTGTGGGCTTATCTTTTTTTAAAATTCTTTTATCTTTTTGAGACAGGGTCTTGCTATGCAGCTCAGGCTGGCCTTGAGCTCACTTTGTAGCCCAGGCTGGAATTGAATTCACAAGGATCCTCCTGCCTCAGCCTCCCGAGTGCTGGGATTACAGGTGTGGGCCACCATGCCCAGCAATGTGAATATGGGCTTATCTGTTAAAGAATTCTATTAAGATCTTATTATGACCGGGCGTGGTGGCGCACGCCTGTAATCCCAGCACTCGGGAGGTTGAGGCAGGAGGATCGTTGTGAGTTCGAGGCCAACCTGGGCTACAAAGTGAGTTCAAGGCCAGCCTGAACTGCGTAGCGAAACCATGTCTCAAAAATACCAAAAAAAAAAAAAAAAGATCTTATTATGATTAGCTCCCACACCCACTCAACTTTCACAAGCTGAGTAGTCTATGGATCCATTTTGGGAGAACTGCCATTTTAACAACAGTGAACACGGACTGTCTCTCCAGTCATTTAGATAATTTCCCAACAGTGGTTTGAAATCTTCAGTGCCCGAGTCTTGGATTTCTGCTCAACTTGAAAGTCCAGTAGTTCCTCCTTATGGGGGGGGATATGTTCCCAGACCCCCGTGGACGCCCACAACCTTAAATAGTACTGAATCTCTCAGATACTGTCTTTTCCTATACACACATAACATAAACAGCTTCTACTTTTTCACTTTAAGAGTTTCCTTTCACTGAGGGTTTCCCTTGGGCTTATCTGAGTTCCCAGTATCACCACAGTTGCACTTTGAAGCTGTGATTAGGTAAAATAAGGTTACATGAACAAAAGCACCAAACCTTGATGATCGGTCTGATAACCAAGAGGGCGACTGGGTGTCTAAGGGGGAGCGTGAGTGCGTGTGTGTACAGCATAGAAAGGGTGCACAGAGGGATAAGCCATGTCTGAGGCAGGACTGCATAGACCTTTAGAGCTATCCTCACTTCGGAACAAATCAGAAACTAGTCAAGCAAAGCACATTCCTTATAAAACTTACACAGTTTTAAGGATATTCTTTTCTTGTTTGTTTTTTCTTGAGACAGGGTCTTGCTATGCAGTTCAGGCTGGTCTTAAACTCACTATGTAACCAGGCTGGCCTCAAATTCATGGCGATCCTCCTGCCTCAGCCTCCTAAGTGCTGGGATTAGAGGAGTGCACCCACACTTAACGATATTCTTAAAAACTATAGAATTCAAATATCAGTATCTTTCATGTTAGGATCAATAACCCAAAAATACAAAACCATTCTATTAAGTGTATTCCATGTACAGCAATCTAGAATGTGTTTTATAACTATGCACTTTTTACAAATTATACAAATGTTTTTTGAGTTATCCAAAAAAACGAATAGGCTGGGTGTGGTGGCGCACGCCTGTAATCCCAGCACTCAGGAGGCTGAGGCAGGAGGATCGTTGCAAGTTCGAAACCAGCCTGGGCTTCAACGTGAGCTCAAGGCCAGCCTGAACTGCATAGCAAGACCCTGTTTCAAAAAGAACAAAAAAATGGGTAATTCAATTTTGTGAAAGCTTATTCTTTTTTCTTTTTGAGTACTAGGAATCAAACCTACGGCTTCAGCCAAGCTGCCCACGCATGAGCACCACGTGGTACCTCCAGCTCACTTACCCCCCACCCCTCCTTTTTTCTTTTCAATACTGGGAACTGAATCTAGGGCTTTAACACGCTAGGCAAGTACTCTACCACTGAGCTACATCCCCAGGCCCCTCTTACTCATTTTTTAATGATATATTTTGAGAAAATTATTAATTTTGTTTCATCACCACAACTATGGGCTCGCTTTGGTTTAGATACGGCTGGTTTTACAGAGGTCCTCATCCTGGTCCCTAACGTAACAATATCGAAGGGGTGGAACCTTTAAGAGTTGAGAGCCCATGGGAATGCTTAGATCATGAGGGCCCCGCCCTTGGAAGGGACGGATCAACTGGACTCTGAAGAGTAGGTTGGTACAGTGTGAGGCTGGTCCACGTGCTTAGCCCCTTCTGTATAGGTCTAGTTCCCCTCTGCTCCCCCACCATGTTGCGACATAGCCAGGGTTTCTTACCAGGATACCAGCGTCATGCTGTTTGAACTCTCCAACCATTAGAATCATGAGACAAACAAATTTCTTTACTTTATAAGCTTGCAGCCTCAGGTAATTTGTTACAGCAATGGAGGATGAGAAGGCTTAAGAACTCTAAAAAGTCTTTCAGAAACACAAAACTCAGAAAGTTTCAATTGTAGAATTTTATTTTTATTTTTTTCCTTTTGAGACAGGGTCTTGCTATGCCATTCAGGCTGGCCTTGAGCTCGCTTTGTAGCCCAGGCTGGTCTCAAATTCGAAACAATCCTCCTGCCTCAGCCTCCCCAGTGCTGGGATTACAGGCATGCGCCACCATGCCCGGCCTCAATTATAGAATTTTAATATTTAGTCTTTGTTTTCAACAGTGAACATTACAGATTTGTCCCCATATTCATCCTTTTTTTTCAAAATAAGTTTGTAATGGTCTTGCTCTTTTTCACAAGCTAGAAAGTATCCTTCATACAATGAAGACTCAAACTGCATCTTATCATCATGTCCTGGAACACTTCTCTGAAAGAATATCATGTCACTCTTTGTGTCATTGATATTATCAGGAGGACTGATTTCCTAGAGAGAAAAAATAACATTACCTAATTTTAAAGGACAGGAACAATCTGAATACATGCAGATCATTTAGAGGTATATTACGGTACAGAACAAGTTGTTTTTTAAGAGTTAAGAAAAATAATCTCTAACTATAGGAGTACTGGTTGCTCCTCAATTCCTAATCTTCTATTCTCCCTGTCTGCTCTGATAGGTTCCATCACAGAGTGCACACCCAGATCCAGGCCTTTCAGTATCTTTTGTTTTTTTTTTGGTACTGGGAATCGAACTCAGGACCTTGCACTTGCCAGGCAGGTGCTGTGCCACTGAGCTATGTCCCCGGCCCATTGCTATTTTTTTTTTTTTTTTTTTTTTTTTTGTTTTTTTGTCTTTTTGAGACAGGATCTCACTATGCAGTGCAGACTGGCCTCGAACACACAGCGATCCTCCTGCCTCAGCTTCCCGAGTGCTGGGATTACAGGCATGCGCCACCAAGCCCAGATTGTTGATTCCTGTATTATTCAACCAGAGAACACAGTCTTGTGAGGAATGATTCAGTTACCTGAAGCTGTAATCCTACTGGTCATCTAATCAGTAGTTCCTACACCTTCCTATTATTCCACCATGTCTACTTTTCCAGACAGACTAGAAAATGTAGGAACTGCCCAGGGCTCTTCCACATTAGTCCTGGAACCAGCAGATGTTGTGGACTTAATTTTGACCCATAGGAGCAAAGAGTCCCATTATCCTAAGGTATGATAAACTTCTCAAATTAAAATAGCATTCCATCCTCTCCTAAGATGGCTGCAAGACCCCAGGGTGGGGGACCCCTCTAACTTAATTGTAGAATTGACAGCCATAACTCTTACCTCTGTCCTTTACCAACAAGTGTAGGACCTTGAGTTGATGAGAGAATCAACTACTTTCCCCAGTGGCATCTACTTCTGAAGCTATCTACAGCAAACCACAACTTAATAAACACTAAGCTGTGGGAGTCAGACTGAGACTACATTGGGGTCTAATATATAAATGAAGGCCGGGCATAGTGGCACACGCCTGTAATCCCAGCACTGGGGAGGCTGAGGCAGGAGGATCTTGAGAGTTCAAGACCAACCTGGTCTACAAAGTGTGCTGAGGGCCAGCCTGAAATGCATAGAGAGACCCTGTCTCAAAAACATCAAAAAAAAAAAAAAAAAAAAAGTATAAATGAGAAATAGCCCTTAGCCAAAATGTCAGAAGCTCTTATAATTTTACAGAGGAAAATGAATCTGTTAGATCCAACCTAACAGAGTTGGAGGTGAGCGCGTGGATAGGTAGAATAGGAGATTGCTTTAGTCTTAGTCAGAAAACCCTGAGGATTTTCCTGTCTTGGTATGGGCCACTTAAAGCCGAACGTAACAAATGGATGTGTGGTAACAATCCTGGGGACCCTGAAGAACACTCAGTTTGGAAAGCCCTCCCTTGTGACACTTGGGTACTCTCAGGGACCAAGGATTCTTTACAGAGGAGGGGCTGAATCTGGACTCAGGGAGAGTTAAACTGGACCTCCTATCTGCTCTGTTGGCCCCCTCCCAGTTGCCTTACAAAGCCTGGGAGGGCCTTGGCCAAGCCTGATGTATGTGTAAGTGAGACACACTGACAGCAACCTTTGGAAGCAAAGCCTTCTTCATGCTGCCCAAAGAGTTTACCACTAGTAAGTGAGGCAGAAAGGCGAGCGCAAGACGGCAGCGAGCCGTGTCCTACCACCTAGAACCCCGTCTCAGGCAACCACGGCAAAGCTTCTTATTTGCAGAGGAAAAGGGTTGAAGGGCAGGACCTAATGCTGGTCCTAACCTACGCCTCCTTCCTCCCCTCTCCCTCCCCCTTCTTTCTTTCCTCTTTTCTTTCCACTTATACAAGTAATATTTACTGAGTTCCTTCTCAAAGTAGATTTGCTACAAAGCTGATTAAGCTTCAATGTCAGAGCCATTCACCTTTACAGGTCTCTTCTAAGGCCCTCTTTAAAAAAAAAAAAAAATTCTAAGTAAGTTGCAGCATTTATGCCTCAGGTAATTTTTTTTTTTTTAATCTTTTTGAGACAGGGTCTCGCTATGCAGTTCAGGCTGGCCTTGAGCTCACTTTGTAGACCAGGCTAGTCTCTAACTCGCAAGATCCTCCTGCCTCAGCCTCCTGAGTGCTGGGATGACAGGTGTGAGCCACCACTGCTGGCTGTCTCGGGTAATTTTATGTTCTCTTTCTTTAAAAGGGATAACCAAAACTACATAAGCTTCAAGCTGGCTTAAATGTGGATTTCTTCCAGTTCCTAGAATGTTCCATGCAGTATCTCCTGCTTAAACCCTCCCACCAATCTCTCCCAACTAAGCTTCCTGCCTATCAGGTCTACAATAAAGACTCCAAATCGCACCCAGAAGGGTTGGTGCCCAGGTTAGAAGGAAACAGCAAAGAGATTTGCCTGGAGGCTGTGTGTGTTGTATCTTGTGAGCTTTGTCAGTGTGTGGGCCTTGCTCTGGCTGCTCTCACTAGGAAGAAAGTTTTCTGGGTCAGTCTGTAGCTAGAGTTAATGGTTGTTTACCTAATGATAATGCAGACAATAGAAAAATAAAAGAGAAAAAAATAGTGACCAGAAATAATTTATGCTTAGCTTGGAGATAGCATTATTTTTATTTTATTTTATTTTTTTTGGTCTTTTTGAGACAGGATTTCACCGTGCAGTTCAGGTTGGCCTTGAGCTCACTTTGTAGCCCAGGTTGCTCTCGAACTCACAGTGATCCTCTTGCCTCAGCCTCCCTAGTGCTGGGATTACAGGGGTGCACCACCACGCCTGGCCGATAGCATTATTTTCATAGCCGATCTTATTAATTTCATTTAATTTATATTAATAATAATATACATCAACTGAAAGCTGAAGGATGTGGCTAAGACTTAGGCTGAGAAGCAAGAACAAACCAATTAGGGTTTAAAATATTATTGTAATTTACAAAGTAAATTTACAGGACAGATTGACAGGACAATTAGCTCTATTCTATATAGGAGGACTTATTCTGCACAGTCACATGCTATTAAATAAATATGGAATTCACATATCTATCCTATACTATAATTTATACATAGATTGATTATTCAACAGAGTGAGGTTTTTTTGGTTTGTTTGTTTGTTTTGTTTTTTTTCTGGTACCGGGAATCGAACTCACGACCTTTGCTTTTGCCAGGCAGGCGCTGTGCCGCTAAGCTAAATCCTCAGCCCCTCAACAGAGTGAGGTTATGAGACAAGTGTTGTGTTCTCTCTTCCTGTTTTTTTTCATACAGGGAATGGAACTCAGGACCTTGTGCTTGCCAGGCAGGTGCTTGTGCTGCTGAGCTACATCCCCAGCCCTGTTATATTCTTTCTTGCCTGCAACAAGCTCAGAAAAATCCCGTTACCACAGTAGGTTAAAGAGTTTGAAAAATTTTTGTACCTATCCATTTCTACAGTCCTGTGTTTCTTGCTCTGTTCTAGATAAAGGGTTGAACTACTGAAGCTATTTCAGGTCTCTAATTCTGTCCATTCATTTGACTAAAGAGAAAGTAGGCACAGTCTTACCTTAAAGGAAACAATTTTGTCCTTGCAGGAGAGAGTGTGGTTTCCGTTGCACATCACAGAGATGGCTACAGCCATACCTCTAGCATGGCTATCTTTATACACGTGTATGTTAAAGGTAGTATCAGCTGCATTATCTGAAATAAACAAGAGAGACCACTAGTTAGGAGAAGTTTTACAAGTCAGGCCTGTGGAACTGTAACCCAAGGATAGTCCGTAATAGACCTGCTGTCAATCTTACATTCTGAGATTTACCTAGACAGCAGGAGGAGATTATGCAGCTTGCTCGACATTCTTTAAAACACATTTAAACATGTGTTACAACATACATGCAGTGGTCAGGTGTGGTGGCACACGCCTGTAATCCTGGCCCTCAGGAGGCTGAGGCAGGAGGATGGCCATGAGTGAGAGGTCAGCCTGGGCTGCACAAGTGAGTTCATGGCCAGCTTGCACTATATGATGAGACCCCGTCTCAAAAACAAAAAACCATACATGCAGCAATTTTTGAGTGTGTTACAAATATTCTGAATTTCAAAACACTGTCTTCGACTTTTTTTTTTTTTGCAGTATTGGGGATGGAACGTAGGGCCTCATGTATGCTAGGCAGGCTCTCTACCACTGGCCTACACCCCCAACCCTGTCTTTAGCTTTTGAATGCTAAATAGGATATTTAAAAGTGTATTTGTTAAGAGCTGGGCATGGTGGCACATACCTGTAATCCCAACACTCTGGGAAGCTGATGCAGGAGGATCATGAGTTTGATCTAGCTTGGGCAACTTAGTATGATCTTTGTGTCAAAGTAAAAAATAAAAAAAGGGGCTTGGAACATAGGTCAGTATAAAGGCCATAAATACAACCCCCGGTACAAGAAACAGAATTCAAGAATTTTTCAAAAATGTGCATTTACTTCTTCAACCTGGCTCCAAACTGGTATTTGGGGCTCATCTCTTGTGAGGTAGTGAACTTACTCATTTTCTAAGACAGTCTAACTTCCGGAGGAAGGAAGACTCATTTGAAATACTTGTCTCTTTATTGTAAATTGTGTGTTTTAAAATTTTTATCGCCAGGCGTGGTGGCGCATGCCTGTAATCCTAGCACTAGGATTGTTGCGAGTTCGAGACCAGCCTGGGCTACAAAGTGAGCTCAAGGCCAGCCTGAACTGCATAGGGAGACCCTGTCTCAAAAAGACAAAAAAAAAAAAAAATTATCAATATTGTCAGCTCTAACAGCAGCGATTAAGAATCCAACTCCATAGAGATCATATACAGTTAATGCAACAAACATAAAGGGACTGGTGATCCACATGTAGGTTCACAATGACATGCCCTCCAGAAATGTCTTTATTAGACCTATTTTTTTCATCCAAGTGCTGGGTCTGGCATAGAAAAGCGTAGGCAGTGAACGGGAACCGGAAGAAGGAGCTGGTCACCCATGAACGCACAAGCGTAAAAACCCTCACCTGCACAGTCAGAATCGGTCATAGCCTCCAGCACCGGCTGCTTCTCATGGTTAATAAAGAGGACTTGGTTTTGCAAATTTCGTATGATTGACAATGTAGGAACAAGCTTGCCAAAATAATCCGATTCCAGGTTTTCTACAATACACATTAAAGTTCATTAAAAAGAAGTTTCTTTCAAAATATACACACAGACATACTACATGGTTCAGTTTTAAATAGTTATTAACTAATTACAATCTTCTGTTCCAGAAGCAACTATTTCCAAGTTGCCTTTTTTTTTTTTTTTTTTTGGTCTTTTTGAGACAGGGTCTCACGATGCAGTTCAGGCTGGCCTTGAGCTCACTTTGTAGCCCAGGCTGGTCTCAAATTTGCAACAATCCTCCTGCCTCAGCCTCCTAAGTGCCGGGATTACAGGCGTGCACCACCGTGCCCGGCTGTGCCTATTGTTTGTCAACCAGCTTCCAAGGGCATGCTGTTTCTTACACCACTTAGCACCACTCTGCCTCTGAGGTGTTCACTTCACACAGCCGACTTTCTGCCCAGTCTCCCAGTCTTAGCTTTCCTATGCTTTTACTCCAGCTGTACACGTTCTTACACGTCACTGTCTTTCAGTGTCCTCACTCTCGTTTCCTCTCCAGCTAACGTGTCTTCCCTTCTTTCCCGGTGCCGCTGAACCTCATGGTTCATTTTCCTGTCAGCATCTTAAATCCCTCACTCATTTATCTGACGACGAAATTCCAAACCTGGCTGCTGACTGTTGCTAGAGACCAATTACATGAACATTAAAGTTGATGTCACTACAGGCTCATCAACTGCCAGTACTGTTTTCCAGCTCGGCACTCTCCTCTACAATTCACATTGCGATTTCAAGTCTTCTCCCTCGCTGCAGAACCTCTAGCCACTATCTCTGTTTCACTTTCAGCACATTATTTCTTCTCTTGGTTTCACTGAGACAGGGTCTCACCAGGTAGCCCAGGCTAGCCTCAAACTCATGGCAATCCTCCTGCCTCAGCCTCCTGAATGCTGGGATTACAGGCGTGTGCCACCACGCCCGGCTGTCTGAATTAATTTCAATGGGCACATTTTTATAAGAAAAGCATAAAGCTCTTCAGAATTTAAAATTCCTCCACGGACGCTATCCTAGCGTGAAGCTACAGCCTTGTTCTCCTCTTTAATGGCCAAGTTTCTGGAAAGAATCATTTGTATTGTTGCTGTACCCTCCCTTTAATCTACTACCACTGCACTCTACCTCTGCCTCCACTTCACCATCAAAATTCTTTCACCGAGACCACCCAACTCCCTGCTGCTAACTCGAATAGATGTTGTCTGGGTCTTAAATTTGAAGGCAGCAGGATTCCACACAGAGCCTTTTACCTCCGTCTTGCAATGCTCTCCTGGGATTATGTAACATTCTCTCGTTACATATCCTCTTCTCTTTTCTTCTTCCCTTTAGTTAGTCTGCTCTGTTTTTTATTAACTTTTCTTTCTACTGCATTAACTGTAGGTATTCTTCAGAGTTTATTTAATCCTTGGCATTTTCTTTCACACTCTACGTATTTCCTGTCTTTCTCTTCATTCCTATAGCTTCAGATACCATTTCTGTGCGTAAGCCTTCTACATGCATCTCCAGGCAAAATTTGACCCGAGCTCAGAACCGTATGTCCAAGAGCTTCCTGGGTATCTCCACCACACTCTCTCAGGATCCTAAACTAAACTTATCACCTGCTCTTTACATATGAAACCTTGCTTTTCCTCCTGGGTCTCCTGTTCCACAGAGTGATACAAACTGTGTTAAGTGAAAAATGTAGACATCACCTTTCCTGCCTTCTTTTACACTCCCTTCCAGATCTAAGCCCAAATCATGTCTTCTTGATGCTTTTGAGTTTTTCTAAAATCAACCTGCAGCTCCTCATGATTACCCTGCATCATTTCTTACAGGGATTAATTTCTCTCTCTCACCACCCCCTTTCTCTCTCTCGTTTTGTTTTGTTGAGACAGGGTCTTGCTATGTAGTTTGGACTGGCCTTGAACTCACTATGTAGCCTAGGTTGGCCTCGATCCTCCTGCCTCAGCCTCCTGAGTTCTGGGATTACAGGTGTGTACTGGCACATCCTGCTAAAATAATAGTCTCTTAATGGGTATCCTCTTTTTTTTTCCTTCTTTTTGAGACAGGGTCTTGCTATGCAGTTCAGGGCTGGCCTTGAACTCACTTTGTAGCTCAGACTGGCCTCAAACTCGTAGAGATCCTCCTGCCTCAGCCTCCCAAGTGCTGGGATTATAGGCGTGTGCCACCACACCTGGCTCCATCAACATTCTTTACACTGGTGGCACAAGGACTTTAACTGTAATGAGGCACATGGTCACCCAGAATGAAAATGATATTTTCCAGACTTCCCTACTGTTGGCCATGTGACTAGTCAACAGAATATGAACAGACGAGATATGGACAATTTCCAAGCAGAGACTTTACATGCAGTGGGTCTGTTTTCCTCTTCTCTTGCCCCTTTCTTGAGAACTGAGATACAGGCCCAGGAAGTATGATCATTTTCAAATCTGTGAATCAGTTTAACAACTAGGGGACGGCGGAGCGACAAGAAAGCAGAAACATGACATTCTCACACTGCCAGCTGAGGCCGGGTGTGGTGGCGCACTCCTGTAGTCCCAGCATTTGGGAGGTTGAGGCAGGAGGATTGTTGTGAGTTCGAGACCAGCCTGGGCTACAAAGTGAGCTCAAGGCCAGCCTGAACTACAGAGTGAGACCCTGTCTCAAAAAGATGAAAAAAAACCACACACACAAAAAAACAAAACATCGCCAGCTGTAGGCATCCTGACTGCTAACTTGGACTACTGGAGAGAGAAATTTCCTCTTACTCAGTGATACACTTTTATTTATTTATTTATTTTTTGGTTTTTCTTCGGTACTGGGAACCGAACTCATGACCTTGCGCTTGCCAGGCAGGCGCTTTGCCGCTGAGCTAAATCCCCAGCCCCAGTGATACACTTTTAGATACCTTCATTATAGTAAACTAACCTGTGTCCTAGTGCAGACATGTTATGCTTAGCAAATCCCTATTACTCCCAAGATGAGGCCCACACTCCACATCCTGGCATAAGAGAACCTCTTGATCTGTACCCTAATTACCTCCCTAGCCTCTCCTGTTCTCCTCTCTCGCACCACTCCCACCTGAGTCACTGTGTTCCTCACATGCTGCGCTTCCTTTCGAATCTCGGTCTTTGATCCCATCTATTCCTCTACTTTCAGAACACTCTGCCTACAGGAGCCCCCCAGGGTCTGTCCGAAAGCATTTCTGAGACGGGAGTGCACAGAAGGGGGAGAATGACTTTGGACAATTTCCAGACATCAATCTCCTCTTCCTAGGTCTCCAGAGAATCAGGGGCTTCCTGCTCATCTTAGACCTACGTAATAGGCAAGTTCTGTTCTGTAGCATCTGTGAGCTAGACAGCTTCCTAAGGTATTGGAGAGCAAATTTTATACAGTTTCTTTTTTTGTAACCCTATGGCATCTTCACTCCAATGCTATGTTACTGAGTCCATATTCCTCTGACAGAAAACTGGCTTCCCAAATAGCTTGGTGTCACGTGGGCAGTTTCTCCCAGTTGCTAGTGGCGATATGGATGTGTCTCGTGCAGCTACTCACTTTATAAAGAAAGAAAAATGCATTTATACTTTACCATAATTTTCAGCTATGGGGGAGAAAAAGAGAAACAAAATATGTTAAATTATGCATTTCAACCCAGATTTTCTTCTTTTCCCTATTTTTTACTACTTTGTTCTGCCACTGCCTATTCTTTAACCTCTTTTTTTTTTTTTTTTGGTTGTTTGTTTTTGAGACAGGGTTTCCTTATGCAGTTCAGGCTGGCCATGAACTCACTATCTAGCCCAGGCTGGCTTTGAACTCACAGGGATCCTACTGCCTCAGCCTCCTGAGTGCTGGAATTATAGGCGTGTGCCACCACATCCACCTTTTAACCCCTGCTTTTTTAACCCCACCTTTTAACCCCTTTTAACCCCTGCTTTTTTAACCCCACCTTTTAACCCCTTTTAACCCCTGCTTTTTTAACCCCACCTTTTAACCCCTTTTAACCCCACCTTTTAACCCCTTTTAACCCCTGTTTTTTTAACCCCTGCTTTTTTAACGCCAGCTAGTCCTTTGTTAGCTTTCATCGGAAAATGTTACAAAATCACCCAAAGGTCCATAAGTTAGATATAAAACTTAAGTCCAGGGCTTATAAATTTTAATACAAAAAGAAATTTTATAAAGTGATATTTACTCTTAAATTTATTGCCTAAGTGGAAAGTCACTTAAGGACTTTTTGTGATGCTTTCAAATGAAGCCAAGTTGCCCACGCATGGTTAATCATAAGAATAAATTTTTATTTGTCATACACATTTACATAAAGTGATATAACTCACTCATAGAACTCTAGTGTATCTCATATAATTTGCCAATTTGCTCTGAAAAGTAGTATTTCCTCAATGTACCCAGTTTTGTGGGATTTTCCTGGTATACACCTACTGCTACATTGAGAAGAGCAACTGCTAATTTAAGTACCAAAGCAATGTGCTGGGGCGGAGAGCTGGGATCTTGGAAATGTTATGCTTAGTTTGAAGTTCAATTTTTTCTGCCCAAAGAACAGAGTCATTAGTATTATAATAGAATTTGGTGACGAAAGGGAATCACTGAATAGTTCACCACACAACCTTTTTCTAGTTGAAAGTATTTATCTAAGCCCCGTATCTATCCTATTGCTTCAGACTTACGTATAAAGTAAAGTACATTGTCAATAAATTTCATTTTCACAAAGCTGATGCAATCATTTTCCGAGACGGAAACAGCCATCTTCATCCCTAATGAAAGCAAAGAAGACAATGTTCTTTTTACAAGGTGTGATTGAAAAATACAGTGAGGGGGCTGGGGATTTAGCTCAGCGGCACAGCGCCTGCCTGGCAAGTGCAACGTCGCGAGTTCGATTCCCAGTACTGGAAAAAAAAAAAAAAAAAAAAAAGACAAATACAGCAAATGCTTACCTGCATAAAAACTTGTAACAATAAAAGACACATTACCATTAACCCCCCTCAAAATATCCCCCTCAGTTTAAACACTGACAGTTCTTAGTGCAGCTGTCCAAAGCAGTTCCAGAAGTCCTACTCTTTAGTTGTGCTGTCATGGCTGCCTCGCTGTTCTGAATCATTTCAAAACATTTACCTTTCATGATCATTTTGACTTGAGGAAAAAGCCACAAGCCACACAGTGCTCGATGCAGTGGATGAAGTGGGTGAACACAGTGACTGTAATGTTTTCACAAACCTGTCTTTGCCTGGGATGGCACTCGCAGCAGCATTCACTGTATTTTTTTTTTTTTTATTGCAGCTCATAGAGACCTTCGTGAAAGAGAACCTGCAGAACTGCTTCAGAGAGTGGCAAGAACGATGGGATAAGTGTGTTCAAATTGAGCGGGAGCATTTCGAGGGGGACTAACAGCAATATGTCTTTTATTATAATACATTTAAGAATATAAACATTCACTATATATTTTGATCATACTGCATGGATAAAAGCAATCTTTTATTACTACCTTTGTCTTTCAGTCTTTTTGAGACAGGGTCTCACTATGCAGTTCAGGCTGGCCTTGAGCTCACTGTGTAGCCCAGGCTGGTCCTGAACTGGCAACGAGCCTCCTGCCTCAGCCTCCCGAGTGCTGGGATTACAGGCATGCACAGCTCTTTTCTTTCATTTTTATTATTAAAATTCTTTATTAGCATATGTTTGCAGCATATAATGATTATATGCAGTATAGGGAATGGTGTACCCCAAAGTATGGTGTTTTTACATAGTGAACTAAAGCAGGCTGAAGGTGTCTCCAACACCCGTCACTTCTGCTTTCTTTTGATCCTATTTTGCTTCTGAAACATAGGACAGGTCATTTTCTGGGTTTTTTTTTTGCACCGGGAATCAAACTCAGGTCCTTGCGCTTGCCAGGCCGGCGCATGTGCTGCTGAGCTACATCTCCAGTCTGACAGGACATTTTCTGAAGTTCTCGTATCTTTCTAAAGACTGGATTCACCAAAGAGGAGCATAATTGTCTTCAATCTTGTTTCTGAAATTTCACTCACCAAGAAAGATTAACTCACGTAAGAGAGGCAGAGAATAAAAACCAAACACCATACCTGGAGCCCGGAGGAACTCTGTCCTAGGACCTTGTCTGTTTTCTGGGTCCCTTGTCTCTCAGAAAGACAACTTACTGCCCCTCCAAAATTGCCTGCACCCTCCATTTCCCTCTCCTCTGTCTGGACCCTTGAAATTTCTTGTTCTGTACGGCTCCCTGGATCACGCATGTTAATAAACCTCGTAGGGCTTTTTCTCCTGTTCATGTGTCTACTGACACTTTATTTCCGCTGATTTAAATACTGAAACTTCAGAGGACAGTCTGAAGTCCACCTCAGAAAAATGACCAGGAAGCCCTACTCTACAGGGCAGCAGTTTCTTGGGTCCCTGAAGGCAGTTAAGGTTGGGCTCCAAGGGAAGTGGCGGAGCCACACCTGCCGCTGGACACGGTGGTTTGTCCTCATCCAGCTCGTGACCCCCACGTGGTGGGGCCCAGTGGGAAGCTGGCAGAGTACGTCAGAGTGGAACTTAGATCTTATCTTGCAGTGACTCAGCCACAAGTGAGAGGTACAGAAATAGTATAACGAGTGCTGTGAAGCAGGACACAGAAGAGCCCCTTTCTGGCCTGAGAGACGCCTTCTCAGAGGAACTGGTGGTCGTGTGGTCGTGTGGCCGTGAAAGACCAGCATTTCCAAAGCCTAGGGAGAGTCGTCACGGAAGGAGCAACTCGACCAAAGGCCAGGAGGCAAGAGGCTGAGAGTGTGCGGGTTGCCTGAGGCCTCCTCATTTTTACCTTAAATAAGGCAATTATATTTTTCAGCAAGGATGCATTTCTGAGGATTTCACATATGTCAAGATTACCTGTTCCCTGGAAATAAATGTAAAGGCATGGTAGGAGGTAGTCTTGTAAAACATCAGTCTACAACCACCAAAATATATACTTTGGTTTTGGTTTTTAATTTTTTTTTTTGTCTTTTTGAGACAGGGTCTGGCTATGCAATTCAGGCTGGGCTTGAGCTCACTTTGTAGCCCAGGCTACACTCACACCGATTCTCCTGCCTCAGCCTCCCAAGTGCTAGGACTGTGGGCGTGCGCCACCATGCTGGGCCTAAAGAGTGTTAACAGTTCACAACTCACATGTTTTACCAACTTTGAAATTTTATTTTAGATAAACTATCTCATTAGAAAGAATTCTCCTTTTGCTTATAAGGGAAGACTCTTCTTCCTCCTTCTTCCTCTCCTTCTCCTCCTTCTCCTTCTCTTTCTCCTTCTTTTTTTTTTTTTTTTTTTTTTTTTTTCCATGGTCTCTTATGTAGTTAGTCTGGTCTTGGGCTCACTTTGTAGCCCAGGCTGGTCTCAAACTCATAATAATCCTCCTGCCTCAGCCTCCTGAGTGCTGGGATTATAGGTATGTGCCACCACACCTGGTGTATTATTCTTATTTTTATTCATTGAGACAGGGTCTCGGTATGTAGTCCAGGCTGGCTTTGAACTCACTATGTAGCCCAGGCTGGCCTTAAATTCGAGGCTATCATCCTGCCTCAGCCTCCTGAGTGCTAGAATCACAGGTGTGTGCCACCATGTTCGCATCTAAGACAATTATTTTTATATAATGTTTTTTTTTTTTCCCTAATTCAACTCACAGAAATGCAACTTGTAATGTAGTTCCTTTGAGGAAAGCCTGGGAAGGAGCGTCATGGCATAAAAGCCTTAAGGTGGGCTAAAGAGGTTTAACTTATTTTTCCTTAAAAACAAAATTGACAATTTAAATAGAATAAAGACATATTTAAATTTACTTTTACTTCTTTATTTTTATGGGGTTTTTTTTTTTTTTTTGGTTTGTTTTTGAGACAAGGTCTCAGTGTGTAGTTTAGGCTGGCCTGGAACTCAGTGTGCAGCTAAGATTAGCCTTGAACTTGTGGTGATCCTCCTGCCTCAGCCTCCTGAATGCTGGGATTACAGGCATGTGCTACCATGCCTGGCTTTAGTATATTTTTAAAAAACTCAGTATGGAAGTGCCATAGAGAATAGATTCTACTGGGCAGAACTGGACAGAGACAAGTAGCAACTTTTAATCATTAAGCACTGATAGGGCTATAAAACAAGTTAGGATTTTTTTTTTTTTTTTTTTTTTTTTTTTTTTTTTTTTTTTGCTTATTGTAGATCCAATGGAAAAGGAGCAGCTAAGGAAAATCACTTCAAAATTTCAGGCTTGGGAACTTGTTCAGGGGTTAGCCCATGAACTAAGCACAGAGGGAATGGAACACAGTTGGCGAGGAAAATAATTCGACCAGCTGTGCTAATCTAGGAAAAATGTGACCTAGAAGCCAAGGGAGAAAGGAGTTTTGAGGAGCGGCTGCTGGGAATCAGAAGCTGCAGAGCCCGTAACACAAGTGGATGGTGGCCACTATGAAGGTTTGGCTCTTGGTCACCAGCTCGGGTAAAGGGGAGGTGGACAGTGATGCAGAAGAGAACGGGAGGGGGAAAGGCAAAGACCCTGATTGTAAACCACCCTTTCAGGAAGACTGCTATGGGCGGGGTGGGGCGTCGGGGGGAGTTACCCGAGAATACGCAACCTGCAAATGTCAACTTCTGGCTCCAGGTCACCTTCCCATGTGTGTCCAAATAACTGTTTCCAAAACCCGAGAGTCATTCTTGACTCCTTTGTCTAAGGCTTTCCTTGTGAGATACACACTAGCACTGCTTTATTTTATTTTATTGGTACCGAGAATCGAACTCAGGACCTTGCACTTGCCAGGCAGGCGCTGTGCTGCTGAGCTACATCCCCAGCCCACTAGCACTGGTTTAAATCAAGCCTCATCACTCCTGGCATCTTCCATGTAATACACACTCGGTTTTCTTGCTTCTACAGCCTCCCCTACTCCCTACTGCTGCCAGAGCAGAACTTTCTCTACTTTCTACTCCTTACCAAAGCCTTCTTCTTTTACACCTTTATCTTTCAAATCTCAGTTGACAAATGTCCCCTGGGAAGACCTCCCTGACCCTTCCATTCCTAAAGGGTCGTTCTTGACTCTCCCTGACCCTTCCCTCACTTCCTGTTTATGCTGCTGAAATAGTTCTCACTACACTGAATTTATATTACTTGGATTACGCCTACATTTGCCTAGCTTTTATCTGAGCTTCTTTAGACAATGACTCTTTCCTTCCCACTTCAACATCTGGAGTTTACTACGGAGAAGGAGCTCAATAAATGTTAAATAAATACATGCTTGGTATAATAAACCTTCTAGTCGTGGTAACAGCATACAAAGGACTACTAGAATTGCTTTTGCCTGATTTAAAACTTTTCCATCTAAAAGCCAACGAGAGCCAGGTGTGGTGGCGCACGCCTGTAACCCCAGCACTCAGGAGGCTGAGACTGCAGGATCACAGCAAGTTCAAGACCAGCCTGGGCTACACAGTGAGTTCAAGCCCAGCCTGAACTACACAGCGAGACCCTGTCTCAAAAAAACAAAAACCAACCCCCTCAAACCCCTCCCCCAACAAAACAATGGGAGCATGAAACATTTAAAAAAACTAGAATAATTTCTCTAACATTTTTATCCTAACAGCTTTTCATTTCATGTGTTTATTTTGAATTTTTTTTTTTTTATCACGTTTTGTCAGCTGTCAATACATCGTGACAGTGGTGGCCCAGGAACCTATAGTAGGCATGCTGCAGTGAGCCGTCCGTAGCTCCGACAGCTCTGAAAGGTTTCCCATCACTGCACTGTGATTATGAGAGCTGTGTTTACCCCCTTCACCCCCTCAGTTTCTTATCCACCTTCCTGCACTCTCTCAACTCTTATCAGTGAAAATTATAGTTCTCAATGGATAAAAATGCTTTGAACATCTCATCTCATATTCTTAAGTTTGCTTGCTTTTGTGGTGCCGGGGATTGAACCCAGGGCCTTGTGCGTGCAAGGCAAGAACTCCACCACTGAGCCACGTCCCCAGCCCACCATCACCTCATATTCTTAGGACTGATATTTTAAAAAATTGATTGATTGATTGTCTTTTTTTGAGACAGGATCTTGCTATGCAGCTCAGGTGGGCCTTGAGCTCTCTTTGTAGCTCAAGCTGGTCTCAAACTTGCAATAATCCTTCTGCCTCCGCCTCCTCAGTGCTGGGATTACAAGCTTGTGCCACTGCATCTGCCTGGATTGATAGTTTTTTAAAAATGGAATTATAACTACCTCAGAAAGATCCTCCCAGGAGTATACAGTAGCAATTTACTCTTTGAAACTAAATATTTTAGTAATACAAGCCTTTGAAAACTAGCCAGAGGAAAGCAAAGGCTAGGCTAGTATGACAGAAATTACGTGAGTTCCAATTTTGTCCGGGGAAAGTCACTTACTTAATTCCAAGGGTCTCCCTTTCCTCATTTGGATAACGAGGAAGTTGGGTGGTCAAACCTTAAGGTCTTTTCCAGCCTCAACGTTCTGCAGTTTTAGGCTCTAGTCAAGCCCAGGAGAGAACCATTTACATGCGGCCAATGCCTTGGTAGCTACTTCCTCCTAATTCTAAGACAACACATATTTACTGAATATTTATTATACGTTCAGCACTGTTAAGTCACTGAGTACAAAAGAAGTATGAGATTAAATGTAAATAAGCCTTGAACTTAAAAAACAGCTATGATTATGTTTATCCATTCTGTGCAATCCCAAATGTGTGAAACACAGAGAGGAGGAAATGATGGAGCGTGCTGTATAATTACTTCCCCAAACTCAGGTAGGAGGTCACTGTGACAGTAACAAGATCAAAACCCAACTTTTCAGTTCAAAAAATCATTCTGTCCCCCCAAACCCTGCTACTTTATGAATGTAAGTACTCCATGTGGTTGCTGAAAGGGTGGTGATAGAATCCTTAGGAAATTATATACCTATATATAAAAGGTATATTTAATCAATTGCTAAATATAGACTTAAAGCAGAAAGTCAAATGGATGCAGTGTGAGTGGGAAATTACATTTAATCTCAGAGAATACTCAAGATTTGAGTAGACAAATCAGGCGGGGTGGCGCACACCTGTAATCCCAGCATTCAGGAGGCTGAGGCAGGAGGGTCCTTGTGAGTTCGAGGCCAGCCTGGGCTACAAAGTAAGCTCAAGGTCGGCCTGAGCTGCATATCGAGATCCTGTCTCAAAAAAGAAAAACTGAGTGGACGAAAAAGGGCATGAGAGAGCATTTATGTGACGACCAGAACAATGCCCTGGTGGGAGAGGGAGTGAGTGAACCTATCTTTTTGACTCTTGGAACAGTTCTGCAGTGAGCTGCAGGGAACACAGGACCATGGAGGGCTGGGCGGGTCTGTGTCCTCTGGGCCCTGTCTTCTGGCTGGGGAGGAGGACAGCATTTCGTATTTGCTCCACTAATGCTGTTTAGAACCACACCCCGGACAATCCGGACAAACGTTCACAACTTGGACAACGTGGAAAGAGAACACTCTTATTTTTTGTTTGCTTTTTATTAAATCTTGCACTCCCTACCCCCTGCCAAAAAAACCACACAGATTACGGAAGGTTTTAGAAGTCATATGGACGAGTCTGAATCTAATCTTACAAGCAATAGGAAAACACTAAAGGTAAAAAAACATTTTGAAGGAGGCTTTAATAGAACTTGAAATAGCCGAATATAGGCAAAAAGTAAGAAGACATTTAAGGATGTTCTGATTTCTTGTTACTCAACTTTCAAATAGAGATATTTAGTCTTCCCTTTCCTGACTGTAAAATAAAATTCTCCGGAGAGTGCTGCGTGACTTACTACTCAAACCACCCACCCCAAAGATGATGCCCCGGATTCCATCACGATTACCAAGCTTGTGCAAAGCTGTTGTTTGCTTTTAACATAATTCATTCGGAGTCGAGTCTTACTTTAAAGAAGAGCGTATTTATTATATCACTCCGCAGCAAGGATTCTCAGAGGTGCACACAATCAAAGCTATTTTTGAATGACTCGAAATTGTCTTTTTCACTCTCATCCTTTACAAGTGTACAAGAGCTTACCAGAGGACACACCCTGTGCGACACAGCAATAGCTTGACAGCAAAGTCCTCTATACATTTTTTTATTTTGTATTTTTTGAGACAGGGTCTCACTATGCAGTTCAGGCTGGCCTTGAGCTCACTTTGTAGCCCAGGCTGGCCTCGAACTCTCAACGATCCTCCTGCCTCAGCCTCCCGAGTGCTGGGATTACAGGTGCGCGCCACCGCGCTTGGCGCGTCTTCAGACATTAGATTTTTTCCAGAATACATAGTTATCTATTTTTTTCACAATACACAGTTACCTTTAAAGTGTCATTTACGATAGCGTGATGTGCTTATTTTAAGATAAATTACCCAATAATTATGTTCTAAATCTCTGTTTTACTCCTTAATACTGTAAACTATAGTAATGCAGCCAATAGCCGAGGGTACTCAATAATTCTTACTAGAGGAAAGAGGACGAGGCTAAAGCGTTTGAAGAGTTTCTGCTGAGACTTCGCTTAGATTCCTTACGCCGCCCCTGATGGCCGTGTTAGAGATGGGAAGGCTTAAATTCCCCTCAATAAGCTTTAAAACAACTGTTTTTCAAACTTCTCCTTGTCGCATCCCGGTTTCCCAGTAAAAAGGATGGTATTTCTTACCCGTGCGAATACTTTTCCTGCGATTGAAAGGCGCGAGGTCCGCTTCCCGCTCCCGAGGCTGCTCGGCTCCGCGGGGAGGCTCATCCTGCCGCCGGCCCGCCCTGCCCACCGCGGGCTCCGGGAGCGGCCGCGCCCGGAAGGGGAGGAGACAGCCGCGGCGTCTGGGACCCGCCTTCAAGTGCTGGCTGTGTCCTGCGGCAACAGAACTGGAAGTGAAGTGTTAGAAATTAATAGCATCTCATCTTGTTTCCTCTAAAAATCACTATATAATGAAACGAGGCCTGGCGTTTTGGAGCACACCTGTAATCCCAGCACTCGGGAGGCTGAGGCAGGAGGGTCATTGTGAGTTCGAGGCCAGCCTGGGCTACAAAGTGAGCTCAAGGCCAGCCTGAACTGCATAGTGAGACCCTGTCTCAAAAAAAAAAAAAAAAAAAAAAAAAAAAAAAAAAAAAGAGAGAGAGAGAGAGAGAGAGAGAAACGATTTCTAATGTTAAAGTTGGGGCGCAGCCCTTCCAAAAACCTGCACCTCTTTCAGAAGTACACGAAGCACACACTTACTTCATGTGTGCGACTGCTCTGTCCTACGGAAGCATCTTCTTGTCTCTGTCAGTCTTGGAAACTCTGGTTACACTTCAGCACAAAATTTCCTAACAGTATTGGATAATCATGCACGCTGGAGTAATTCTTACAATATAATCATAGCGCTTAACATACTTCTAAAACATAAACCTCTTCTGGAGGAAAGACTGTTTTGCATAATGTTTCATTTCTTTCAACTTAAGACCTCATTCACAACTTCTCCCTCCCAAACTGAACTTGGTGTCAGAGGACAGCTGATGGAGGCCCCTAAAAAGTCCTTCTCAGGGGAACAAAAGCAGGCTATTTTCAGGAAACTTTCCCTTTGTCTGCTATGTTAGCTGCAAACTACAATGCATGCCATTGCTAGAATTTTATTGAGTAATTTTCTTTTTTTCTGCAACAGAAAGGAAAATTTGCTCTGGTATAAGAGCGAACGTGTATATGCAATTTCCACAGCTAGAACTTTTATTCCTGGAATAGCGGCAAGATTCTGGCTTAAAATATGTGAAATCTTATTTAAGGCAATATGCATTTTTAAACTTCATGTTCAATTCATTGAAAATAGACTTTTTGAAAATGCAACTTTTAAAGAGGGGAGTGCAACTATTACAGCCTTGAAAATGATAAACAGAAATAAAATTTGTTAGGTAATTTTTTCTTGAACATGTGCTGAATTGTATTACCTTGCCAAGAAGGAAAGTAAACAGGGTGGCATTTTTGTTTTTGTCTTTTTGCCAATACAGAAATGATAGGAAAACAGAGGGTTTCTAGAATTAGGAAACAAAATGCTTACATAAACAGCCGATTTAAAAAAAAATTTTCAACAAGATCTTTCCTTTCCTAATGTCATAAAAACATCATATCCATAACAGTGATTACAAAGGCAGTCTGTAGCAGGGTCACTGGAGGTGCTTAATATGGTGGTGACTTAGAGGGAAAAATAATAGCACTTTTAATAAGTATGGCCAGGTGTGTTAGCACACTCCTGTAATCCCAGCACTTGGGAGGCTGAGGCAGGAGGATCGTTGAGAGTTCGAGATCTGCCCGAGCTACAGCTTGAGCTCAAGGCCAGCCTGAACTGCATAGCAAGACCCTGTCTCAAAAAGACAAAAAACCAAAAATAAGCAAACAGAAAAACAGAACAAAAACCAAAGAAATATGCTAAGAATTCATATGGGGCTGAACTTGAAATGGAAATTTCCATCCTCCAACTGTGGTGTCCAATTAGGTTAGTTAACATGAGAGCATGAAGGTGGTTAAAAAGTGATCAGAGGCAGAGCAGCAAACAAGCTCTGCAAATGATCCATTGCCAGTGAGTGGTCTCCAGCTCTAAGGAGGTAGAATGCGCAATACGAGGATTTCTAAGTTTCAGAACTTCGTTTTCCCCTTTGATATAGAGCAACACAAGTGTCTCCACGTCCTGCATCCTTCATAGGGTTGTTGTGAAGACTAAATGAGATGTTACCCTTTGAAGACTTTAAAGCACTGAGTAACTTTGCGCTTATACAGCCTTCCCCTCATTCTTTTTTTGTTTTTTTTTTTAGACAGGGTCTCACTATGCTTGCCAGACAGGCACTGTGTCTGCTGAGCTATATCCCCAGCCCAGGATCTTGCTATGTAGCCCAGGCGGGCCTCAAACTTGAAGCAATCCTCTTGCCTGGGATTATAGGCATGTACCACCCTACCTGGTCATTTCACTCATTCTTAACCACTTAGTTTATACAATGAATTTAAGATTTTAAAGATAAAATGAGATGCCATGGTATAAACCTGATGAGAGAACATTTATGTATTATGCACAGTTTTTCATGTGGACCAGGTGATAATCAGCAGTTTAGATATCATAAAATATGAAGTATGGGAGAGAAAATAAATTAGTAGTCACCAAATTTGGGGATTTAATGGACCATTAAAAAGCAGCAGTAGCCAGATGTGGTGGTGCACGTGTGCAATCCTAGTACTTGGGAAGCTGAAGCAGGAGGATCGCCTTGAATTTGAGGCTAGCTTGGGCTACGTTCAGGCTGCATTATAAAGCAAGACCCTGTCTCAAAAACAACAAAAGAAAACAAAAAACCCAACCAACCAAACAAAAACCCTGCAGTAATGATAATAATGAAGAAGAGAGAAACATCGAGTGGACGGTTTTATGTTTTAACAAGTAAAGATACTGACAAACTTAAAAATCTTTGTATTTTTTTCATAAAAGGATATTTTGCATAAAAGTAGGAAGTTCTGTAATGATGGATAATCTTTTGCAGTGAGTACATTTGATTTATGAAAATGTACTACTTTTTATTTTATTATAGATAGTAAAATTTTTAACGCAGATTGCTATCATTCCTCAGTCAGTAGGATTCTTCGAAGACTGTCAATAACTTCCACCAAATTATCTAATATGGTATTTAGTAAGTGCTTTGTATTTCACAATATTAACGATTCAAACTTGGGCCTGTTTTCTAGGTACTTAAAACAATTGGCTTTTTCACAAAGAGCAAGTAAATATATATACACAATACTTCTGAGTCTTGATGACAACTAACATTTCAATAAAATGCAAAAGGAAAAACCCCCACAATAATGTATGTGTGTTAAATGTAGCTCTCTAAGGTGTAATATTGCACACCTAGAGTTCATTAAGGCATGTTAGTGACCTCTGTGTTATGTTTTCCTTAAAACCAACAACCGAAGCTTAAGTCTAGAAATCTACCTGTGAAATTGCATGTCAAAGTTGTAATGTTAAAGCACCCAAACATGCCACAAGTACGTAAGCCATGCAGTATCCCAAAATACCTTTTTCAAAGCTGCTGCCAACAGATCGACTAAACTTATTAAACATCCAGAAAGAAATTTTCCTGAAAGGTGCGATTCTGCCAGGTGCACACCTGTAATCCCAGCCCAGGGGACGCTGAAGCAGGAGGATTGCTGGAAGTCCGAGGCCATCCTTGGTTAGAGAGTGATTTCGAGGCAAGCCTGAACTGAATAGTGCGATCCTTTCTCAGAAAACCAAAAATAAAAAAACAAGGTGTGATTCGGAACCTCTTCTTGTTGCACTAAGAAGAAAAAAGCGACAGAAATGGAGCGTATGGATCTAGAAGCCTTGCTTGCCGGTGAGACTACCTCAGAACCTCAGATTTAGGCCCTTTCTGTCAGCACAGGACTTGGACCAACAACATCTAGTTGAAAAGAAGAGGTAAGTGTAGTGATGTGTGCTTTTCTTGTTTATTTGTTTTTGGAAAACAGGGTCTGGCTGTGGAGTTTAGGCTGTCCTTGAACTCCCTCTGCAGCTCTAGCTGGTCTCGAACTTGCCGCGATCCTCCTGCCTCAGCCTCTGAACTACTGGTGGCATGAGCCACCAAGTCTGGCTGCGTGCTCTTTTGCTGACATTCCAAACCTCTGGGACACACCCTAGGTTTAATTTCGTCACTCTTTATTTTTTCTTGAGATTTATTTCAGATTTTCCTCTTGTTTCCATAGATACACTGGGTGGAAACGAGAGACTTCTGTTTCCAGAAGATTCTCAATCGGCGATGACGTAAGCGGAGAGCATCTCCCTTTAAGTGGCTGCACCAGATGCCAGTCAACCGGGGGCGGGGCAGGGCGGTCGCGTCACGTGACTCGCGCGCTGGCTGGCGGGAGCGTGCCTGGCTTCACAACGGAGTCTGCGCACTGGCGCGCCTCGCACTCCCGCGCTTTCGCTGACGAAGAAGGTCGGCGGGCGGCTGAGTGGGGGGTTTGGGTGGGGCCGGAGGCCGAGTGCGCACGAGAGTGTAACCGAGTGTGAAACAAGGCAGCGAGAGAGAAGGGGAGCGGCCTTCTAGGGTCTTCAGTGAGGCCGCGGCACAAGCAGCGGGAGAGGGCTGAGGGCACGTGAGGGGGAAAGGGCGGCGACATGGCAGCAGCCTCGTGAGCAGCGCCTCGGGTCGCGTAGCCTCGGGCGGCGGTGTCCTCGGTGTGTGTCCCGCGGGGGGACCAGCCCGCCGCGGACCCGCGTTAGGCGTGGGGCTTTACGTGGCGGCAGAAAACGAATTTACTTTTGCAGAGGCAGAATCCCCCAACCATAAGAGTTTGTATCCGGCGTTTGAACATTTTCTCTCACTTTGAGAAAGGTGCGAGAGGGAAAACTGAAAGGGAGAGACGGGACGGAGCGGAGACGCCGAGCTAGCGAGGCGCCCGCTCTGCGCGTTCCCGGCCCCCCAGGCACGGTCGCGCGTGCGCAGTGTCTGCCTGCGGGTGTGCCGAAGTGTATCTGCAGAGCGCTGGTGAGGATGTGGAGCTAGGAGGCGTGATCGCAAAATATAGTGTGTATAGAGTAGAAGACGCACTGCTTTTAATCCGGCTGTAAATAGTTGCCCCTTGCCGAGAGCAGTTATCCCACTGTTCTCACCACTTGCAGAAGCAGGCCTGGAAGTCTTCCTTCCTACGTTTCGTTGTGCTGTCATGGCGACCTTCATGTTCAGAAGCCGTTCTGGTTTTTTTTTTTTCTTTTTTTCTTTCTTTCTGGTACTGGGAATCAAACTCACAACCTCGCACTCGCAAGGCAGGCGCTGTGCCGCTGAGCTAAATCCCCAACCCCCAGAAGCCGTTCTGAACATTTACCGTTCATGGTCATTACTGATATTCTGGGAAGAGCCAGAAGTTGTGTGGTGCCAGATCTGGTGAATACGGGAGATGAGGACACACCATGATGGTTTTAGGCACCTGGCTTTTGTGGGGTGGCACTCAGCAGCAGCATTCGCTGTATTTCTTATCACACCTTAGAAAGACGCACACAACAGAGGACTCCTAGACGGCTTCAGGAAGTGGCAAGAATGATGAGTGCTCAAGATGAAAGTGTTCAAAGTGAGGGAGAATAATTTGAGGGAGCCTAATGCCAAGGTGTCTTTTACTGTAATAAGTTAAACATTTTTTAACATTCACTGTATTTTTGATCACCCATTGTACTCTACTGAATTTATTAAACAGCCTTCCCTATAATTTGTTTTTACTGTCATATGTAGATTTATACACATATTATGTATGACTGATCAGATCAATTCAGCGTAAGTTTTTAAAAAAGTAAACCGATAACTTTAATGTAGGTTTCATGTCTAAGATGTATAGACCCTTATAGGTTGCAATAGTTTTTCTTTAAGTTTAAACTTAATGTTATAGACTCCTAGGATAAATACCTTTTTTTTTTTTTTTTTTTTTTCCCGGTCTTTTTGAGACAGGGTCTCACTATACAGTTCAGGCTGGCCTTGAGCTCACTTTGTAGCCCAGGCTGGTCTCGAACTTGCGAAGATCCTTCTGCCTCAACCTCTTGAATGCTGGGATTACAGGAGTGCGCCACCACGCCCGGCAATACCTTTTGGAATCTATGGAAAGGAATTTGTTGTTATATGTAGATAAGGTAGGACAGTAGAAACAATCTTAGATTAGGAAGGTGAGGAGATCTTGTTTATGGTCTGGCCTGGTCTTGTTTGAACTTGGTTAACCATCTCTGTTCTTGTTTTTTCATTTGTATAAAAGAGAGTGAGATAGAGATACTGAATGAGATGAGCTAAAAGATCTGTTTTAACATTTAGGATTTTGGAAGCTAGAACAAGCGAGTCCTGAAACAAGACAGAAATGTCAAAGAGATTAATTTGACAGAGTACACACAGAGGAGTATTTGAAAATGATGAGAATGGTAGGTTGGCCCCAGGTGATGGAGGACTTTGGATACCATACTAGGGAATTTGAACTTATCAAATGGAAGGTTTATAAATGAAGGGAATGCAGTGATCAGAGTTTTGAATTGCTCAAATAGCAGTTGATAGGATGAATTAGGGAGGAATCAAGTACAGGTAACTGACAGGTCATGAGAATTTAATAGCAGCAGTAGGAATAGAAAAAGGAAAGGATTCAAGAGAGCTGTAGCATGGAGTTTACCTGAATTTTGACATTGTTCTAAACTTTATAGTTTGTGCTACCAGGAGATGATGGAAAGCCACCTTGTAAAACCTGATTCTAGAAATTGTAAGAGGCCAAGAGAAGTGGAGGTAAGCTAAGTTTGTAGAGATTTATCTTTTATTGTTTTGCATAGTTTTCAGATTTCTTCCATTTAAGGAAATTCTATTGATAAGTGGTAGTTAGCATTTTCCTATACCAAGAGCTAGGATTGTTCACATTGATTCCAGCTGTGTTTTCACTAAGTGTAGACCTGCAAGAAATTATTGGGAGATTCCTTTTTGGTAACTTGGGATCTACAGACAGAATGGAGTTCATGCTTTTATGACACAGAATTTTATGTAATTTTTGCTATAACAAGAAAGTTACCTAGATACTTTACTGATTGATCTTTTAAAGAAGAGCCCCCCTGTATATAGTGCTTTACCTGTGTCCCTACCCATTGATCTCTTGCATTTGAGATATTAGTTTGCTCCTTGAACACATATTGTCACATAATTTTGCAAGTACTGTTGTCCAAATTATTGTTGCTGTAAAGCTGTGAAAACATCTACTGGCTCAAGATTTAAAGTGTATTCAGAATCTTTTTTTTTTTTTTGAGACAGGGTCTTACTGTGCTTTCTGGGATGGCCTAGAACTCACTATGTAGCCCAGGCCGGCCTCAAAGTCATGGCAATCCTCCTTTTAGCCTCCAGAGCGCTGGGATTACAGTTGTGTGTCATTATGCCTGGCTCAAAATCTAACTTAAAATTTAAAATTTAGTGTGTGGAAGAAGGTAATTTTTGGGTCTAAAAGTTTCCTTGATAATATAATTTCAAGTGTATAAAATATACTTTTGAGCATGTTTGCTCTTTTTCTGAAAAATATTTCATGTACTTTTTTAATGTTGAAGGTTGAACACCAGTTCTTAAGCATGATAGGCAAGTATTCTACCCCTCAGCTGCACCACCACCCTGTATTTGTTTTTTTAAATAAACGGAATGTATGTGTCCTAAGATTTTTATCAGTGGCAATGAACCTATTTTTTTTTTTTTAACTTTTCTTAGCCTCAAATGCCAAATAGTCCACTGCTGTCCTCTCTTGGAAAATCAGATTCATCATTCTCTGACTATTCTGCACTATTTTATAAGGATGTGGCCCTGGAGAAAGAGTTGAATGGTGATGTATAAAATATATTTCTAAACTTTGATCATTCATACAGATTTGTTATATTTCATAACTTATTCGGTGTTTTTTTTTAAACAGATGTGGGCAAGGAAATTAATCTAATGTTTTTTACATATGCAAAGATCTTAAGGCAAGTACAGTGTATTCTCTTAGATCTTTATGTTAGAAATAGTTTTCTTCTGGAAGCTGTAATGGAAAGTTTAATTCTGGCTGAAAAAAATCTATCAAGTAATCAAAACTTTGAAATTTTTATTTTATTTCAAATTCCTTATAATGGATTATTTTCAGATTCTAACCACAACTTTTGCTTTAAACATCTCTTGTTTTGCTGTTGTCAGAGCTACTACTAGATTGGATATATTTTGGTCTCTAATTAGGGACCATAATACTAATGTTAAGTTTTATGTAAATATCTCTTTGAGAAAAATGTCACTTGATGAAATTAATTGTACTCATCAAATGATATTAAAGATAAGTATCTTATGTATTTATGTTTTATTTATATATATTTGAATCCTGCATTTAAATATTTACTGGCCTGAGATTATAGTGTATTATGAAGGCCAGGAGTGGTGGTGTATGCCTGTAATTCCAGCACTTGGGAGGCTGAGGCAGGAGGATCATTGAGAGTTCGAGACCAGCCTGGGCTACAATGTGAGCTCAAGGCCAGCCTGAACTGCATAGTGAGATCCTGTCTCAAAAACACACACACACACAAAAAAAAGTAGTGGTGTTTTAAACTACTGGACAATCATTATACTTGAGTAATGGTTTGTGTGGCTATAAAAATAATTTACATAGTTTATTATTAGAATTATAGTGCAGAAGATGTACTTTCTACTGTCAGAAGGCTCTTTTGAGCAAAATTAAGTGTATCTGTGGGACTAATTTAACCTTTTCCTGAAAAGTATGAGTACATTAATTAAGCTCTCTCATGTCCAAAGCCATTTAAATGAAATAGCTAATTATATTAAATTATACTCTATTAAATATATTCTATTAAATATATCATACTATATTAAATATAGTATAATAAAGAACATACCATGATGATATATTTAGACTTTATAACTTCTTTTTCGACTTTATAACTTCAATTTAATATAAATTTCTTTTCCTATTAGTGAGAGAGCAGCATTAGATGCATCCTACATTAATGAGATAGATGGACTCTTCAAAGAAGCTGATACTATTGAAAACTTTCTGATAGAAAAAAGAGAGCTCCTGAGACAGAGGCTTACAGTGATTGCAGACACACTGCACAAGTAAAATGTGTACTTAAAATAAGTTGGGAATTTAAACCTGTTACTATTGTGATAAAAGAATGACCTTTATACTTTGAAAGCTCCCTAGTCATTAAAGAAAATGTATATCTGAAATAGAGAATTTTTTTTCTAGTCGTAAAAGGGACTTTAAGCTGGACTTTTTTTTAAGCTGGAAATTAATGTGAAGTATGGAACTTTTCTTTTCTTTTTTTTTTTTTTGGAACTTTTGAGGGTTAAATATTTGGCACATTTTCTAAAAATGTAAATTATTTAAATCTTACATGAGTTCTTTTTTATTTTCTCTCTTTGTTCTTTTTTTTTTTCCTCTCTTTTCCCCTTGGACTTCTAGCCTTTCTTTAACTTCTAAAAAAAAGGACTCAGTTAATTTTATTATGTTTAACAATATTGTACTTTTTCTTTTAAATGACTTTAAGTAGCAGATAATTTTATTTGAAATGTTTTTAGCAGTCAGTACTATAGAAGAACTTTAAAACATGAAAGTAATTTGTCTAAGGTAATTTGTTTTCACAATATGTGATAAAATATAACTGTGCTATTGCTGTGTAATAGTAGCATTTGACTGCTTTCACTATTAGTTTTTATATATGACTAATAAAAATTCGATTTAAAGTTATTTTCTTGTGATAAAGTGGTATAATAAAAACCAGAAAATACTAACTAGCACCTTGTATGAATGGGTTTTTACACATTAATTACATCAGGGTGTGTAGTTAATGAAATGATTTCAGAAGCTTTAGCAACACTGTGGTATGGGATAGAAATTAGTGATTGAAAAGTAAGGAGATTCGCTCAAACAAGATAACTTTGGCAAGTCACTTTAACCTTAGTATAATTTTGAGGGGGGATATTTTTGAGACAGGGTCTCACTTGGTAATAAGGTGGCCTTGAACTCACTATATAGTCCAGGCCTGCCTTGAACTCTTGGTGATCCTCCTGCTTCAGCTGAGTGCTGGGATTATAGGCATGCACCACTATGCCCAGCTAATCCTGTTATAATTTGAAAGTTAATTTGGGCTAAAGGTCCCTATTACTCAGGCTACAATTTCTTCCTTTGATATAAAGTACTATTATGATTTTATTAAAAAGGTCAGTTTGCTATATCACTACATGGGATAACTATATTAATCAGATTTTTAAAAATCACAGTTCCCATTTTTCAATCATATAGATAGTTCACTCCTTATATATATATTTTTTTTCAGTATAAGCAGTTACAAATTTGGATACGTTTGCAAAAACTGCACAGGCAATTGGAATGCCTAAAGAAGACACCATGTTTGTTTTCTTGCCTTCTAAACTCTAAAGTAAAATTTCATTTCATCAGATTACTATTTTACTTTAAAAATTGGTTAAATAGACAGGATAGGTTAGAGGTCAATGAAGTACTGGAAATGAAATTTAAAAAATTAAATGCAACTAAAGACTATATTTAATATGACATGTGACCTAAATTTGAATCATTTTATTAGAGTTCTTCACTGTTTGGTATACAAAGATAATCCCACTGACCTACCATCATTAAAAATGTTTTGAATTATTTTTAGGCATTTATTCTTAATATGAAAAGTAAGAAAAAAAAAAAGTAAGGCCAACAGATTTAGACTGGATCTTGTAATATAATTATTATATCCTGGTTCTTTGCATGTTCAGGAAATTGATGTGATCATTTAAATTGGTATGATCAAAACTAAGGAACTGGGTTTTTTGCCCAATACCGGGGATTGAACCCAGGACCTTCACACTGAACTACATCCCTGGCCCTCTTTTTTTATTTTTTATTTTGAGACATGGTCTCACTAAGTCAGTAAATTGCCCAGGCTGGGCTCAAACTTGTGATCCCCCTGCCCCAGCCTCCCAGAGTGCTGGGCATACAGGCATATTCCATCATGCCTGGCTAGGGAATTGACTTTTTTTGTCTTTTTGAGACAGGGTCTTGCTATGTGGTTCAGGCTAGCCTTGAGCTCACTTTGTAGCCCAGGCTGGTCTCAAACTCGCAACCATCCTCCTGCCTCAGCCTTCTGAGTGCTGGGATTACAGGCATGTGCCACCACGCCAGGTCTGGTAACTGACTTTTAAGTCACAATATCTATGCTATTCAGAACACCCACGTTCCAGTTTAAAGGACCTGAAAGCCTAATAATTAAGACTTGATTTTGAAAATCACATTTGATGGCTTTGGTACCATCCTCATAAACAAGAATAACTCACAACTGGAGATACACTACTGCAGCAATACCATTGCCTTTTAGCATATACTTCTAGTGTCACTCTCATTTCAATAAAATTTCACAAATTTATGAATTATTTTGCATTGATTGCTATCAAAATATATGTTCAACCATCTTTATACATCATACACTGGAAAAATACAATAAATTAAAACACTGCCTTCTGATAGTTTTTTACAATTCCCCATGAATTAGACTTCCAACTTTTCTAGGAAGACATGTTGGTATTAAAAGCATCTCCTTGGCAGTGCTGGGAGAGTTACTGGAAAGCCTTTGGGCAAGAAGGTCAGAGAAGTAGATTTTGGATTTCTGAAAAGTGGGAGACATTTCAGGCAGGAAAAGTGTTTTTGTTTGTTTTTTGGTACTGGTGATTTAACCCTGGGTCTTTGTATTGAGCTATAATCATATCTCTCTATTATTTTTATTTTATTGTTTAACTGAGACAGGGTCTTGCTAAGTTACTAAATGGTTCAAGCTGGGCTTGAAGTTGGGATCCTCCTTATTTAGCCTCCCAGAGTGCTGAGATTAAAACCATGTGCTACCATGCCTTGCTTGGGGCAAAATTTGTTTAAAGGCATAAAAAATAAAAGAACAAAAGCACATCATGGCATAAAAATTTATGAAGAATACTCTATCATGTAAATTGGAGATCAGGGGTTGACTTTTATTTCTTGATATTCTTATTTATTTTTTGGTTTTTTGAGACACTGTCTCACTATGTAATTCATAGTGAGTCTTTTTTTTTTTTCTTTTTGGTACCAGGAATTGAACTCATGACCTCAGTCTTGCCAGGCAAGCACTTACACTGCTGAAATATATCCCCAACCCCATAGTGAGTCTTAAAACTCACTATGTAGGCTATGCTGGCCTTGAACTGTTGGCAGTCCTCCTGCCTCATCCTCTCAAGTGGTGGGATTACAGGTTTGTGCTGCCACACCTGGCTTATTCTTACTTTGAAACAGTGGTTGATACATTGGTTCTCAAAATGTTTGTTAAAGTAATACAGTCATATATGGCCATATCCTTTTTTGTTGTTGTCATTTTTTTTTTTTTTTGTTTTGTTTTCCAGTACTGGGAATCGAACTCATGACCTTGTGCTTGCCAGGCAGGCACTGTGCCACTGAGCTAAATCCCCAGCCCCGGCCATATCCTTTTTAAGGACATACTTTTATAGGGTCTTACTCATTTGTAAAAGTAATGAATAGAAAAGAAATGAATGAATGAATAGAATGAATAAAAATTAATGAATAAAAAGAATGAATGAATAGAAAATGAAGGATGAAATGATAGACAAAGGACAAAGTTAAGGTGTTGCCTGATTACAGAGTCCTTTATCAACAGTCAATAAATTTGGACTTTATTCTGTATTTGAATCTTTCAAGGGAGAGGAGTGGCGGAATGAAAGTGATCCCATGGATCCTAATCAACTGATTAATTCTAGTGTGAGGATAGATTCAAGAGAGATTCAAGTGAGACCACTATTGGTTGTCCAGTTTTAATTTTTTAAAATGAGAGAAAATTTATTTATAGAGAGCTTGTTGGGATAGTTGCCCTGAAAGTGAGACTAACAGAGATTACTAGTAGTTTGAAACCCTGCCTCTTCCCTCCCCCCATCCCCCCCTCCCAGCCAGGGACAATCCAGGAAGTTCTGTGAATGTTTACTAATAAGTACCAGTGAGCCTACGGATTTGGAGATCACGGGATCTCCTGCTCCTGAACTGAGTTAAAAGATGTTTTCTCGAAGCTTTCCCTGCTTCAGCAGCAACCTTTCAGCCACTTCAGTGGGTTTTCTTTCCAGGACAGCACAGCGGTTCCCAGGTAGGGGATTTGCCTTTGCCCTTTCCCGCACCTCCTCCTCTTCCTGCCAGTTTGCACTTCAACTTCTGTGCCTCTTTCCCCGAAGATTACTAAAGGCTTCTGAAGCTTCCCCCTTTATGTGGAGCAAATACTGGCAGCCACTCCAGAGGCAGAAGTGAAAGAAGACCGAGCCAGCATTTGTTTGCTCATTGTTAGGGAAACAGCCTTCATGTTCAGATATTTTATTGAACGTATGTGGGCAGGACTCAGGACTTAGGATTTTATTGAATGTATGAGAGGAAGAATAGTCACTATTCAGACTTGTCTAAGTTGAAAATTACTGTCACATATTCTAATATAAATGTTTGATTCTTCTATTTGCATTGTGGGAAACTGCCTTAAAACCTGTATGTCTTTTGTAGCTTTCCATTATAGCTTCTGTTTTTTTTTTTTTCTTTTTCTTTTTTTGGTTTTTGATGCAGGGTCTCTCTGTGTAGCCCAGACTGGCCTTGAACTCCTGCCTCCACCTCTCAAGTGCTAGTATATAGACATGCACCACCATGCCCAGCCATAGCTTCTGTTGTTTCATGATTTTATTTCTTGAAATTTACTGATGTAGAACTGTCAGAAATTACACTGATATGCACTATAAATTGTAAATTTATTTAATTCAGTAATTTAGTGTTTGCACTATATAGGAAATGTGTTAGGTACTGGAAGGAAATGGTAGGCAAAACTCACATTCTATATTGATGGAGAGCGGATAATAAAGGTTTACAATATATTGATCTGTGTCATACAGGACAGAATAAGATAGGGCCATAAGAGAGCTATAATAGTTGCTGTGTATTTCAGACTAAGGAGAATCAGTTTTTGCTCTAGAAAATGGGAATGCCATGCTAATGAAGCAGATGACATGGAAACTGGGTCTTAAAGGATGGGTTGGTATGTGTATTTCATCTGCAGGGGACTGGAAATATTCTAAGTGAAGGGAATGGTGTAAAAATAATGATGAGAACAAGAGAATGGGGAGTGGTCCAGTTTGGCTGAAGTGAAGGCAGATCTGGA